TAGCGTTCTTGGAACGCACCATGCTGTGCGCCGCAGAGTGGGCGGTGCGGCACCTTCCCGTGCGCCGTCCAGCATTAGTTTTCCTTTCTTTCTTTTGCCTCTTTTTGTGGATACAGAAGAGTGCAACCCAGGCCTGCAACCCTGTGTATCACCAGTGGCCGCGGCTGCAGGGTCATTTGTGGTCCACGGCCGAGTTTTTGTGGCCGCGGCCTCGGACGGTGGCCCCAAACTTGTAGCCACAATTTTTACAGATTTTTCCCCGGCAAAATAAAACGTGTAAAAATACTAAAAAAAAAGAAAAACGGGGGTTGTAGGGTTTTTCGAACCCTACAACCCCATATTTGTTTTTTTCCAAACCGCATATTTTTTGGTATTTAAAAAATAAAAATAAAAAGTGCAAAAAAACAAGGAAAAAAAACAAAAAGAAGACTTTTTTCTTTTCTTTTTTTTTGGTTGTGTGTGTGTGTGTGCGCTCACGGGGGGGGATCCGTAGCTGCAACCCCTTCTTTGGCTGGGTGAATATTTTCCCTGTGCGCCCTACATGCCGTGCGCCGCACCGTGCGGGTCCCGTTCGTGCGCCGTACGTGCGCAATGTTTAGTTCATAGTCCATATTTGTTGGGCCATCGCATCCTGCAAAAAGCAACACCTTCTGGTGGTGTGTGTTTGGCTTCATGTGCTGCCACATGCCAGAGCGAGGTGTCATCTTCCTATATGATCCAAGGTTGCCACAAGAGAAGTCAGTGACATAGGGGGGCAGTTGTTATGGACAGGGGCCACACATTGGTGGGACCACACATTCGCAAGGACTGTTTTCTGTTCCATTGAAGGAGTGCTTGTGTGCCCTGCCGTTTGGAAGAGTGCGGAGTGCCATTCATTCATTCTTTCTTTCATTCTTTCATGTACCTAGGGTTGACATTATGATGAGAGAAGATTCCCTCCTACACATGGCGCCAATGCATCTTGGCATTTGCGGTCAGTTTTCTCGGGGGACGACATGCTGTGTACACAGCTCACAGGTAGTGTATGTTGTCCTGTGGGGTCACTCGTGGGCCCGGCAGAAAAGTGCACTCCAGGGATGTCGTCGATCTGCTCGACTGTAATCCACAGGTAATATGTGCACACAGAGAAACATACAACTGTGCGTCAAGGCGTCTTTTGCAGCAAGACATTGACTTTGGGGAGAGCAAGTGCATATTTTTGTAGTGAAGGCATATTTTGGTGGGTGCTTTGGGGTCATCAAGCACATGTTTTGCAGCAAGGCACTGGCTTTGTGTTCAGCAAGCACATATTTTGCAGTTGGTGGGTGCTTTGGGGTCAGCAAGCGCATATTTGGTGGCAAGGTGTTGGCTTTGGGGTCAGCAAGCACGCACTTTGCAGCAAGGCATATTTTGGTGGGTGCTTTGGGGTCAGCAAGGACATATTTTCCAGCAAGGCGTTGGCTTGCTATGCTCAAAGTCGACGCGTCCAGAGACCATCATTTGGAACTTAACAGGTCAAGGAATTTTATCGGCAGTTGTAGATGCAAAGCCCCAGCAACTGCAAAATACTGGAGGAGGGGACGCAGATTGTAAATCTTCCGCGAACAATGGATCACAGGGGATGGTGTACTGTTAACCGTGGTTCGAAGTGTTGATTCCGTCATCATCGACGTCGTTATGGTTGTCGGTAATGTGCAGCCATTGGAGACGGATAGACGGGGAGATGAGGGCTGGCTGCACAAGAGGCAATACGTCGTCCGGCGGTTCTGATCGAGGAAGAAATGCCATTGTTCAAGTTTTTGGTTTATGCGCATACTGAAGACGGTGGAAGAGGGGGAAACACTAGAAAGAAGAGATGTCTGAGGGTAATATAGGGTGTCTGGCAATGAGAGAAGAGAGAAGTGGGACAAGCACAAGAAGCCAAGGTGGTCAGTGGTTTGCGCTGTGACCTGCGATGTTAGGCTTTGGATGTTCTGGCAGGGCCTCCATGATAGGCTCTGCAAAACTCTCTTGTCAAGCAGAACCTCACTGATGTGGTTGATGGAGCTGCTAAAGGGCATTTGGAGGGACCGGTTTGTTTTTGTCATCGGCGAGCAAATTGCTCGACTTTGTACAGTACTTCCTCTTTTTGTCGTTAACTTCTCCTGATGAGTCGGTGAAACTCCGACGAAACAGTTTGTCACAGCCCCTCGTTTGTTGTCCTCTTCTCCCTCTCTGCCTACGGTTTACCGGGCACTTCTATTTGACGATATATGTATTTGTCACGCAACAATTTAACGCTGTTTCAAGTCTTTTAGCCCGATGGCGGTTGCAGTTTTGGGAACACCGGCTTGAGAATGTCAGGAGCTTTTTTTTTTTTTTTTTGGGTGGTGGTGGTGGTGGTGGGTTTTTACCTTTAGGTGTTGATGGGTTTGTTAACACCTTTTTTTTTTTTTTTTTTACAAAACATCCTCACCGATGTTAGGGGTGCTGATAAGAGCAGACACCACTAGCACATGGGAAGAGGCTCCATCTATTGGTGGGGAGCTTCACCTGCTGGAAAGCTGTCTCTTATACACATCTAGATGTGTATAAGAGACAGTGCGCACACCATGCACGGTGCATGTGTGGTCCAGCATATTTGCACATGCATGCATNTTTTTGCGCAGGGACCATGCATGCTAATCTTCTCTGTATCATTCCAATGTTAACCGATGTCTCATTTTCCTTTTACTGGAATCATAGCTCCATGCATGTCGCATGTTCACGCAATCAATCTGTGTTTCATTTCTGAGGTTTGTTCTCAGACTTATGCTCCACAGATTTTGTTTGAGTAAGTACACTAATCCATCGTAAATTTTCATGGGGCGCCACTGAGAGCAAATATCAGGGCCATTACCAAAATGGCGCCAACTGAAAAATCGGGGATATGTTTCTTAATTGGATGGGGTCCGATGCACTGAACTGTCTCTAAGGAAAATGCTCGCGGCTCTGCAGCCTGGGACACCCTCTACCACGAATCTGCCTGGGTTCCTTGTTCGACTGCCGTGGCACTGTAAATGATTTTGCTGTGGAGCCCCAGTTACTTTGAGGATTACTCTGAGGGAATTCCTCAAACTTCATCTGTAGAGCATGAACCTTTGGGGGTCCAGGCTCCACTGCAAAATCGTTTTTTTTTTTTTTTTTCCCCATACGAAGCAGGCGCCTCTTTCTAGTTCAGTGTCGTCGCGCGCATTCCTTGGCAGGCACTTATCACAATGAAGAAGGCTGAGGACGGTCTCTTTTCCCAAGTTTTTTTTTTTTTTTTCTTTTTTTTTTTGAAAGTACTCGATATATTGCAAAGAATGGATAGGAGGTCGGGGACCTCACAATTCAAGTAATCCTCTACCACAGTTTGACACATGTACAGTGCCATGGCGAGGCTGGACATCTCCCACAAAGTGTCTGCCCTTCGGCTGGAGCTGTGAGCACTGTAGCAAAATACCTGGGACACCACGAATCAAGCGTTCGTTTCAAGGAGCCTTCTCTTGAAAAAAAATAATCAAGAGCGCATTTTGATAGTTACTGCGGCGATGCCTCACTCTCGAAGTTTTCGAGAGTGAGTCTGGCAACTCTTGAATCCGGTTTCGGCATGCTTCAAGAGTTCATGCAGCGATGCCGTACTCTTGAAATGTCAAGTTTCAAGCGTAGTGCAGCGAGGCTGAATAGCATCAGATTCTGCCTTTGCTCTCCACAAGAAAAGAACAGTTTGGGTAGACGTTTACTTTGCTTGGGACATGTGAGGAAACGGCTAAATTTGTTCGGGGTGAGAGGAAAGGGAGATGTTGAATGATTATGTACATCATAGAGTTGGCGGGGGGGGAGGGGAAGGGGGTTGCAATGGTTGTTGCAAAGTGCTTTAAGCCTTTTGGGTATGCGTGAAAAATGGTGTAACGGCATGGCATTCCGTTAGAATTTCTGCATGTGGAGGGAGGGAGGTCAGAGTGTTAAAGGGCATCACATTGTACTCCTCCAAAATGGGGTGAGGTGGGGGAGTGCTGAGGTCCATTACCCTTAGGCTTTCTAAACAGAGGGAGATGAAGGATGGGTTTGAGTGTGACATTGTGTGCTTTCCTTGCATAGGGGGAGGGAGTTTTGACTTTTGAGGTTCACACATACGAGGAGTGTCAAAGGGTGCCGCAAAGTCGTTTTTTTCCTGCATACTACAGGTCTAGAAGAAGAGTCCGCATATAGGTCTAGAAGAGGAGTTTAGTGTCGTCTTGTAGACCTAGCCTCGCCTTTGTGGCACCCTTGTTTGTCAAGCTTGCACTCAGAACTCATGAGGCGAGTCCGCACATCTTGTTTGTCAAGGGAGTGTTGAAAGCATTATCAGATTCTTTTCACACAACTAGGGAAGGGGAGAGTCAATGGGTGTGGCAAGACGCGCCGTAAGTGTCGCCACACTATTGTAACAAATTCCTTCTCAACTTAGCTCTTCCCTGTGGTGGTTAGTGAACACGCGGATACGCGCATGTGAGTGCAGATTCTTCCTTGGCTGATCAAGCATGTTTTGAAACCCCTGTAGGGAATTAGATGAAGAATATACATTTCATGTGTCTGGATGCATGTGTTTCGTTGTTTTTTGGCACACACTCAGGATCTTTGTGAAGAGTAAGTTGAAGCTTTCTTTTATTGCATGCGGGAAATTGTGGATGAATGCAGGGTATAGAGGTTGGTCCCTGATATTGTACGTCTGCTAGATGCCCCTATTCGACTGACTTGCCCCGTTTTCCCTACCACCAGGAGGGACTACGGATCTGTGAATGGGACATCCGTGATGTGGTCGCTCGAATAGGCTGCTGCTATCAATTCCTGAGTAGAGTGGGCTGTTCGCTGTTCGTCGAACCCAGGTTCGTCCTTGTGGAGACCTGTTTACCCCGTTATTCCCTTCTTCTCCCCTTCTGCGAGCTTATCGTCGCAACCTGGTCCGCCATAGCTCCCAGCTGGCCTCGCCTCATGAGTTCTGAGTGCAATCTTGGGAATTTTATAGGCGACGTGGGTCTCCCTTCTGGACTTAACAGCGAAGCGGAATATCAGCCGAGGCACACTAGATTGAAAGTGTCCTTCTCAGACTCCTGAGCCTTGTAGGCGTGTGATACTTCAACCTCACGCCTTGCACAGCTTCCCCGTCGGAGTGACTAGTAGAGCGTAAAAAAAGGGAGTCCGACCTGGAAAGTGACAAAATGGGGTTTGCCAAGGATTTTTTGAAAATCGAGTGTGGAGACACAGACAAAACTGAAATCTCTCGTGTGGTCCCAGATATGGGGCGATGAATGAAGCGGGAAGAGCAAAAAAGGTCCCTCCCCAACACCTATCTAATAAAAAAAATAGCTTTGAGCTCCATCGCACACAGCGCGATGTCTTCTTCCCGGTCGAAAAAGACAAGGAACACACGTCAGATCTCGGTTTTGTGTAAGGGACCGAAGAAGATCTTCACAAAGCTCAAAATCCGAGTCGGAGGGTGGCAGTGTAATTGCTTTCTTTTTAAACTCCACTTCACCACTTGACAATGTTCGATAGTTGAACCCTTGGGCTTGAAAGCGCTCTGTGTGGCGACAATCACTACACGGTGCAAGGCCAGTGGGAAGCAATTGTCATTCACGGGATGACAATCAATTCGTTGAACGGAAGCAAAATGGAGTGGGGAGGGAAACAAGTATCAGCAATGATCATGAACCCTGAATTGACAAATCCAGAGCACCATGACTCAGAAGAAAAATGATAAGGGCAGACAATCTTCAAGTTGGTGACGGCTTATCGCACATCCCACTCAGATACACGTGTCCTATTCTTGGTGTACGGAAACAGTCGTGAGGGGGGATGTTCAAGGAGTTGGCGCCCTGATGGCTTGCTCGCTCAGTCCATATGGACGATACACACGCATCCACCGTTCATAAGACAAGGTAATGAATCTTCATTCAACTTCGGGAATCGCCTTCGCAGACGAGATTAGGCAATACGTCGTTGCTTTCATGGCTGATGGTCCTGAGCAAAGGGGGATTACCCAGGAAGCTGATGGATGGGTTCAGGAAAATCTTCCACGTAAGCAATCACGGATTCGACAACAAAAGATAATTGGAACATTGCAGAAAGTAGGTAGTTCCTTTGAAGCAATAAGAAGAGCAAAAGTCTTCAGGAGTTGAGAAACTTTAGGAGATGCCCATTCCAAAACCCTTCGATAAAAAAAAAAGAGTCATTCATTCAATATGAAGATAAGACGGTGGCGGAGGAAAGATCATTAGATCGGAGTGCTTTGCGTTCACAATCGACAAAGGTCCAACGAATCTCCTCGTTACACTCTTCTTGCAAGTGAAAACTGTAACGGGAACCGAACTGGCTTTGTCAGTTGAGAACGCGGAGGAGTTCTCCAAAAGAAGGAAAAAGAAAGAAATCATTTGCTAAGGGGAAATAAAATAAAGCCGCCGCATCCATCCGAGTGGAAGACTGTAACGGGAACCGAATTGGCTTCGTCGATTGAGAGCGCGAAGGAATTTTCCAAAAGAAGGGGGGGAAAAAAAATCACTTACTAAGGGGAAATAAAATAAAGCCGCCGCATCCATCCAATCATTATTCATTCATCACCTTGATCCTTGGAAGAATGAGAGGGGGGGGGGGGGAGAGACATTCATTTATCCTAACATCCTTTGTCGGCTCTTTCGTTTCAATGATCCTCGCCTAGCGAGATCTTTGACAATGGAAGGACGAATCGACGGGCGTTGCTTAACAACGCACCCCTATACATGTAAACATTATAAACCAAACACAGACAAACACTCATTCACTCATACACCCACGAAGAACGAAAGGAGAGAGGAGAATATACACTTGCTTGATTTGGGAAGGAAAAGCTGACATCCCGCCATACAACTTAACTCCAAATATAGGAAGAAGAAGATTAAGAAAACAAGGCGCAAAACCTTTTGCTCTCGAGTTATGACCCCAAACCATCCGACCCACCATCAACACACCTCTCCCTGCTCAAATATGAGTAATCTCGACCGCCACGTACCCCGTGCCAAACCTCAAGGATCGTCAACCCGTCCACTTAACTACTACGCGGATTGGCTAGGATCCTCGAGTGCGTCGCAGCGATCGAGCGCATAATCCTGCAAAGTTGTAGGCGACTCGTCCAGACTGTTTGACTCACTGGCCACCACCTCATCTCGTCACTACTCCACCGGAGCTGGTCGATGCATTGCGAGAGAGTGAAAACGATGCACTTGCGGGATTTATATTTGCAACTTGAAGAGGGAGAGGAAGAGCCTGTTTTCTTTTGTTTCAGCCTCTCAAAACACA